TTCTGAATTTATCAGGATTTAGTTTAAATTTTAGTCTAGCTCTGTTTTCAGTCTGACTCCAATTTCAAATGATCAGTTTTTAATTAGAAATATTGCCTAAATTTAATGTTCACAAATATTAATTTAGATATTTGATTATTCCTGACTCACTATACTTTCACATATCCGTTCACTGGGGACCTAATGTCTCTTTTAAGTCTCACGCTGGCCTTACGTGGATCTTACGATCACAAATTCACCAGTCTGATGCTAGTCAGAGGGTGTAGGTAGACTAATACCTGTTTTGCCTGCCGCCTACTGCTTGCTTATGACAAAAAGTGTAGTTCACTCAGTCCTTTCCCGTACAACTTGCTAACATCAGCGATAGACAGAAATCAGAAGGTCTCTGATGACGTGCTTATTGCTCCTATCATTCACAAGCCTTCAGTTTGACATATCCTGGCCTTAGATTTGCGGTAACAAAAGCCTCCTCACAGTTTACTAGTCATAATGATTTCAGGAGAGTTCAGAATAAATATAACAATATATTATTTGTCAGGTAAACTTGTATCATGCCAATTACATAATCAATTCAAAGATATCAATACAAGACATCAAATTCTCAAAGATAAATCTAAGAGCAAAGGATGCATACCTGACTTCAGGAAAATACATAGTATAGAGTGTGTGGACAGATTCCATACTACGGGCTTTCTGGCTACAGAAACACAACACAATTCTACAAAAGTTTTAAATCTTTCTCATTAATATAAATGACTACTTTGAAATTGAGACCAATTTACCAATCGCACAAAGACCTTTAAAATGACACCAAACATGACAACTTTACGATCATGAATCCTGAAGATATAGAAAATGTTTTATGTGAGCATAGCAACTTGAGTTCTTGGCAGTTCTCTGTCAACTTTTAGCGACCTGCACCATGTACCCAGGGGGGAAGTATGGGGGAAGGGACCGACGAGCAGATGGTCTTTCTTCCAGATCTATCAGGGGATCCAGTTGCTCTGTTATGCTGTGGGATCATATTCATATTCTGCTGGTCTTAGAATGAACGATCAGTGCAAATAAACATGAAGTTGATCACCTTTATCTATGATGATCTCCAGTAATTCTAACTGAATTCTACTAGATTTCATCACGCAGTGAAAGCATGGACTCTCAAGGCTTATTTTTCACAAAATAATGTCAGCTCACACATCATTAAAACAACAATTACTATAATATTTTTAACGATACATATCCCCCCCAGCTGCCGTTATATGTTGACAGAATTGTGTTGGTGTTGAAGGGAAATAACAAGTAACCAGTGGCGTCGCAGGTGTTCAGGGCTCCTGTGCAGTTGAGTCACGTTCAGTGAAGATCATTATAGTTCCTCCAGTTCCTGTCTGTGCTCTGTATTCTCCTCTGCTGGAACCTGTGTGTGACCTCTGTGCTGACGGCGCCATATGATGACAGAAATCACAATCACAGCCAGAATCACCAAACACACAACTGGCACAATCCATTTCTCTACAGATGGAAACGGGGAAGATGGGAAGAGAGCACAATTTTTTAAAATGTTTTTTCATTATTACTCACTGCTTGAAGATTTTGTAAAGCTCTCAATGCCTCTGTGTGACTTACTGTGTTGTTCAGTGTCTTCAGTTTTGTCTTTATCTGTGTCCAGTTTGTCCTTTGATTCTGTACCTGATTCTAGAAGATATTGAGAGGTCAGTCTCACAGTTCAGCATCAATGTGATGTTCAGATCATGATGAATAAACCTCAGCTGTCCACATGCTTTATAAATAATATTTCCACAAATCTGAGTTTCTCTCACCTGTGACTGTCACTGTGATCAAGATTTCTCCTTCAGTGTCCAGAACTCTGTATATTCCTGCATCTCTGTTCAGAAATACTTTAAAGATCAGGTTTTCATCATTTTCATTCAGTCGATCGCTCTGAACCCCATCAGTTCTGCTCCAAACCTCCCTCCACTCTCCACTAGAGCTTTTCTCCACTTTATCAGCATTAGACAACAGAACATGCATCTTTAGCTCCTCGCCTGTTTTCACAGTAATCTCATCTGAGGAGAAACAGAAAGACATTAATCATTATTATAATGCTGTCAATCAATCAAAGCCATGAACACATATTTAGTATCGGGGAACTAAATGTAATCATTTAAAAAAGCAGATGCTGATGTTTGATCAGTTTTGTCTTTACCATGAATATGAAGTTGGTACGTCCTGATTAGTCGCTTCAGCTCTGTCTGATCATTAGTGTAATAGACTCTCAAGTAGTATTTCCCAGCGTCACTGAAGCTCAGATTCTTGATGACGACGTCACAGTTTCCTTCTTTAAACACTCGAACACTACATTCTTCATCCTGACACACATCTATGTCTTCTGACCGACTGAATAACTCAATGTGAACAATATTATTGGCCTCATGTTCACATGTTAGTGTGACGTTTCCTCCCTTTTTTCCTGACACAGGTTTAGATGTGTTTCCTGCAAATACAGCATAATATAATATTCAATCAATAGAACGTATCAATACTGAAAAACACATGTTTCTGTCTATTCTCAGAAATCAATGTTATAATAAAATATTCTAATAAGAGTTAATTTAGTCAGCTGGATTTTCTTTTGCTGAAGATATTTCTTCACACATCTAAGTGGATTCATCAGCTGTGAACTGATGGAGGAGTTTCTCTAATATTCAGCATCAGAAATGAATGTAAATATTAAGGATGCTCATTGCTCATCAGAGACATGATCTATTTTGTCTTTGTGCTCTTCATCTAAACACTTAACTTCAGGTTACTTCATTGTCTCTTCATGAAATAAAAGCATTAAATGCTCAATCTCAAGCACTAATGACTAATGAGATCTGGTTGATGAATTAATAGAAAGCAGCAGGTTCAGTCAGAAGTCTAAATGCAGCGACCAGAGCTTTACCTTATAAACTACTTAGCTTTAACTCTTTCCTGCTTTTACCAAAAAAAGGACAGCAATTGTTTAAAACAAGGAACACAGCACTAAAAAAGTGACTTTCTTTGCAGCAACCAGATATTTGTTATAAAAATGGATTAAAATATAAACGAGGGCAATAAGAGCGAGCAATATTAGCAGTGGCACATTTTAACATTTCAAATGTTGATGAAAATAATATAAAGCTGCAGCAGATGTACGAGTGCAGTTGTAATGAATTCCTGAACGATGTTTATTAATAAATTAACTGAATGATAAACCAGTGAATATTTCCACCATCAATCCACAAATGTTAACACAAGTCTTCACTGAGTGACACAACAGAGAAATAATTCACTAGAATAACTCTAGCTGACGCTGAACACAAGAATAAATAGAGTTTATGAACATAAAGTACACTGACCGCTGTGATAGACGAGACAAAGCAGCAGCAGATTCCAGCATCTGAACCTGATGAGAATAAGAGCTGTTATGAGACAGATACAGACACACATCACAAACACATTAATACAGCCATAAAATACTGCTGAGTGGACAAATATTACAGAACTGACCACAATACAGCGACTACTAACCTTCAGCTTCAGTGTTATTTAAATATTTAACACATGTGGGTCTTACATGATAAAAATGTCTAATAAGAAACATCAAACTATAATCTGAGTCTTTGGTTTTATAAATATTATCAGTTATTATCTGAGTCAACATGATCCGTCAAACATTAGACACAAACAGACAGAGTAACCCAACAATCCACACATCAACGTAGAAATCATTTGATTGCATTGAGTAATCAATGTAGAAACATTTAATAATTACATTAATAACCACACTAATAAAAACATTATCATAATCTTTGTTCAACAGCATAATAATAAACATGTTCACTTATTTCCTTAACGTTAGCATCTTTAGCAGGCAACCCTTTTTCACACATAAACACAACTATTTGTATAATAGCATAAAAACACACAAGCTTTATATTTAAAAGAATAAAAAAAACTTACATTGTAAAATTCTGCATGAGTTTTAAATTCTGGGTGTCTAAATTTCGTAAACCACTGCTCGTTTAGTGAGATCGAAGCAAAAACCAAAACCGAAAGTATCATTCCTACACACAGGTGAGTTTTTCAGAGGGTGTGGTTGGCTCCTCCCACTAAAGGAGGAATATGTTTGGCTCCTCCCACTAAAGGAGGAGTATGCTTGGCTCCTCCCACTAAAGGAGGAGTATGATTGGCTCCTCCCACTAAAGGAGGAGTATGATTGGCTCCTCCCACTAAAGGAGGAGTATGATTGGCTCCTCCCACTAAAGGAGGAGTATGATTGGTCTGAATATTTGGTTTTATAAATATTATCAGTATGTGTGTTTGGGTAGTGCCTTCTGCTGGTTATTCTATCAAAGCAGATTGAGCAGTCAGAAGATGTGAGATCTAATATCTTACATAGATAGACATTTGGCTAAAAAACAGTGTGTGAGTCCAGATACAGTCAGCTGAAGTTTATTCTGAACAAGATCTCTGATGCTTTCAGTCTGATCTCAACAGTTTGAGCAGCAGATATAAACTAATTTAACATCTACATATTTGATCATAATATTATCAATAAAGCATTATTTTTCTGAGCTTAGTAAAAGAAAATAGTAAAACTATTTAATTCATACAAAAATACAAACCAACAAATCAACACCAAGAAAAATGTTTCTTACAAAAATAGTTTAATATATACTCTTTCACAGCAGATTTACAAAGAAGAATGCAAATCCCAAATTAAGCAAACCAAAGCAACATATAAACATTTTTAAATATTATTATTATTTTTTTTACAAAATATACATATGTACAAGCACACTGTTGGTGTTTCACAGTTTGGCGCAGATATGCATGTTTACTGTTTACATTATAACATTCTAATTATATTTATATTATAAATACTTTACTATTTTTTTCTGTTAATGGATTAGAATAGAAACAATAAGTCCTAGTTAATGAATCAGGATTGGTATAAGTGACCAGTTCCTCAGCAGACATCATTATGGGCCCTCAGTGCTTCTGGGTCTCCTGTGCCCAGTCTCTCTTTTCCTCCTCGAGAGACACACAGTTAACCTCTGAGCAGACGCTTGTGTAACGTGACAGCAGTCAGAATCAGAGCCAGCAGAACCAAACCCACAGTCAGTGCAATCCAGTAGCCTACAGCTGGAAGAGAAAAGTAGTGACAGAGCACTGATTTTATTCTTTAATTCAGTTTAAGATATTTGTCAAGCTCTCAATGCCTCTGTTTTACTCACTATGATATTTAGTGTCATCAGTTTGGTCTTTATCAGTGTTCAGTTTCTCCTTTGATTCTGTTCAGAATATTGAAAGGTTATTCTCATAGTTTAATATGAATCTGCTGCTTTAAAGATAATATTTCTAAACATCACTGAGCTTCTCTCACCTCTGACTGTCACTGTGATCAAGGGTTCTGCTGAAGGCTCCAGAACTCTGTATGATCCTGTGTCTCTGGCTGTAAAGTTACTAATGATCAGGTTTCTATCTCTGATGGTGATTAGTTCGCTCTGAACTCCATCACTTCTGCTCCAGACCTTCATCCACTCTGTGCTTCTTCTGCTCTGATGCTGCACTTTATCAGCTTCTGACAACAGAACATCTAACTCCAGCTGCTCACCGATGCTCACAGAAACCTCATCTGAGGAGAAACACAGACAATCATTATTATGATGCTGTCACTCAATCAAGAGCATAAGCACATATTTAGGATTGGAGGACCAAGTGTAATCATTCATTATTTAGATGAAATCAGCCATCAGAAAAACCCATATTGGTGACTAATATTCAGAGTCTCTGCTGGTTACATGAAATATCACACAATTACTAAAGAAAACCAGAAAACACATGCTGATCAGTTAGGTCTTTACCATGAATATGAAGTTGGTACGTCCTGATTAGTCGCTCCAGCTCTGTCTGATTATTATTGTAATAAACTCTCAAGTAGTATTTCCCAGCGTCACTGAAGCTCAGATTCTTGATGACGACGTCACAGTTTCCTTCTTTAAACACTCGAACACTACATTCTTCATCCTGACACACATCTATCTCTTCTGACCGACTGAGTAAACTAATAACAGAAATCTTATTAGCCTCAAATTGACATGTGAGTGTGATGTTTCCTCTCTTTTCTCCTGACACAGATATAGTGCTGGCTTCTGCAAATAAAGAGAATCTTTAATTTTGTACATTTAAATATTAATATCGACTCAGAACATCTGGGTAAATACACATTCTTTGGGCTCTGCTCTCACGGAGAATATTTACTTGTATAGCATATATTATTTTAGATCAACTAGAAACAATGCTACATTTATAAAGTTTTATTTTGAAATGTAAGTCAATAATGATTGGCTGGAGCCAGTGCCAACAGTGAAAGTCTTTGCGCGAGGAGACCCCGCCCCATTTTGGAGATCTCGGGTCTGCAGTTCTACTTGGCAGTTTTACCCTTCTCCACAAACTGTGCAAACTGTGCCAAACGATAAGCCTGAGTTTATGTCATGCCCCTCCCTCAGCATCCAGTGCAGACAGCATCACAGATGTTAATGGCTTCTATTCACTGACATACACTAGAGAACATGTTTATAGATCAGAGGTGGTTCTGTTGTGTTTTGTCTCGTCGGGTGAAGCCACGGTGTCAACATTCATCTTTCTCAAGATTATAATTTGTGAATAATACATTTTTATACATTACTAAAGTGTAATCCTCAGATTGAGAATGGTCCAGATTCAGTCAAACCCAAAGCCTCAAAACACAAGCAACAGCTTTTAGAAGTTATTTTTCCTGCGATCAACCAATCAGAGTAATCATGGTAGAATAACTTAACAATTATGTTAATAATCCCACTAGGCTCCAGACGCGTCTATAAATACCTAGACGCCTCATTGGCCGCTCGACCGCACGTCGCCATATTGGTGCGGGCAACTCTCATATCTGGACAGAAGAAAACATACCTGACTCGCCGGCAGCTTGGGCATCTACAAACCGTCGCACAATAATAAAAACAGATTATTATCTTATATTATCTTTCACAGGTAAGACTGAACAGTTGTTTCTGGATGTTTTTTGGTCATTTTTAGCTTTATGTTGACAGCTTAATTAGCCACCAGTGTCAATTAATAGCTAGCGATATCGCTAGTACGCTGTGAAAGCTGAGACTTTATATGAAATCAAAGTTCAAATGAATTCTTAAGTTTTAACTTTTATATTGTAGTTTATATCATAAAGTAAATGGTGTTATGAGCACAATATGTACAGTGAGCACTTTGACAAGACAATGCCAGACTGTCAGGATTAGGGATGGAGCTAAATCATCTCTCTTTAATTTCACTAACGTTACTTATTTACAAAGAGTAAGTTTATCATCACTTGATTATAAGGATTTCATAGCTTATCATAAATCTGTGGACTTATTATATATATATTTTTTTTCCTTTTTAGCCAATTGCAAACAGGACTACGCAAGCCTTAAGGAAAGCTGGAGAAAGCCTGTTCTCTGCATTAGTTCTCTGAGAGTAGGCTATACTTCCACAGCCTAATGTTGTATTAGTACTAGTTACACCCAGAGTAGCCCTGAATGAATGGCCAGAATTACCCTGCTCATTTTCAAACCACACACTCTCTCTCAATCCGTGTATCATTCGATCATTCGTTTTTTTATTTAATATTGAAAGTAGAAAAATGAGAAAACGGCTCCTTTTTCGTTTTTTTTCCTCCAAAAAACGAGAAACGAGAATTTAGCTTAAATTTTCGTTTTTCGTTCATGGGTGGAAAAATGAATAAACCGCTTGAATATTCGATTTCTACATGTGGGCGGGAATTAAACGCCCCTTTCTGCTGATTGGTCAGCCAAAGATCAAACCGTGCCGTCATCAGTTCTTCCGCAGTATCATGCAGCAGAATAATAGTCCTCCGCTGCTGCAGTTTAATAACCCATTTGATCAATTTCATATTTTTCATCAAACAAACAGACTAATGAATAGCTGGACACAACTCGTACCGGGGCAGAGTCTAGACAGGTCTTTCTTCTGTGTAGACCAGCGGTTCTTAAAGTGATAGGGGGTCCGAGAAATAATTAGCTTGTATTTCCAGACTGTAAAGTCGCTTTTTTTTTATCATGATACATCGGCCTACTGTGATTTATTCCAAAGTGACTTATATGATGCATTTAATGTAAAATAATCTAAATGAAGCCTTTTAAAAGACGAGTATTCTCTGTGGTTTGTGTTTGTGGCACGCGCCGGAAAGATGCTCAAGGAGACCGAGACGCGCTAAAGCAGCGCATTCTGTTGTTCTCTTTATTTTTTCAAAGGCATGACATTTTGTAGTTATTTTGAACAATGTTACACAATTAAAAATATACATTTTACCATACGACTATAAATGACAGAGTATTAAGTTATTTCCCCTCGATGGGGAAAAAAAATCCAAGTGAACATCAATCAGTACTCAATATTAATTTAAACTGCTTTAAATATGACTGCTGCTTATTTCCTGTGCACTCTGAAGGTATACTGAGGGTTTGGTGAGAAACAAATGGAAATGGCAAGTTATTATATTTTATGAAAATCTTGCGTTGCAGTGCGAGTGCGCAGCAGCTCACAAGTGCATATCCCCTTATCAAAAAGTAGTATACTTCAAGTTTATTTTATTAAGTATACTTAAGTAAAGTTCAAGTATATTTTTAAGTATACTTTATGTAGTAAGTATACAAATATCAGTGTACTAGTAGTATACTTGTAAGTGTAC